GCCAAAAGGTCTTCTTGGCGCAAGTTTGAACCCCCATCTCTCAACCGCAAACGAGGCACTTTCATGTCAACCCACAATTCAGACCGCGCACCGCACTCCACAAAAAAAAAAAAGAAGCCAAACCACGCGAATTCTTCCGAAATTAGCCCCAAACTAGACCACTTAGGATCCGGACAATGGAACCACATCTCTTCTGCGACTCCTATGCCAAATATCTAGAGCGCCGGTCGCCGTCTTCAAAGGCAGCAAATTCACAAAGTTAGGAGCTGGCCATATAGAAGTACACCTGCTGTCCATGCGAAATGGGTTCCCATATATCATCGCCTGCTAAACAATATGCCAAAAGCTAAATGCGATACAATTATCAGAGGCCGAGATATACGTTTTTTTATTTGATTTTTTTTTTTTTCGTTTCGTTTCTGTAATTTTTTTTTGCCGTCTTTTTGTCGTCTCGAAAAATGCGAATTTTCACACACATGCGATGGGCGGGGGAGGGAGTTTAAGATTCAATGCGATGTGATTACATATTATGTGCAGTTGTTTTTTTTTTTGTTGTTACTCTTGTTGCCTTTGTCTGCCGAGTTTTATGGTCCAAGGTTAAATGCTTTGAAAATGAAGCTGAAAAGCAAGAAAAGAGCCGAGGAAGAAGGCAGAAAGACACAAAACTTGGTGACTTTTGTCTGGGATTTTGGAGTTTTTTTTTTTTTTTATCGTATGTTTTTTTTCCGGTGGTGGCGGGGTGGTTCATTTGATTTGCAGTGAATATTAAAGCAATTTGTGGGATTATTTCCTATTGTAATCATCGCGTCGCTCCGGTTGTGTTTACTCATCAGCCGAACAACGTCTCCAAAATTGTTATTATTTCTGTTTGAAGCACCTCTGCTTCTTCTTTTTTTTTCTTTTTGGTCAACTCATTTTCAAGTACAAGTTACGCTTCTCCGAAAATAATGCACTTTTGCCCTTAGGCTGGAATTTTTGTCACTAATCTGAAAGGCATGAAAATTGCCCCCATTTAAGTGGGATGTTACTTTTTTGAAGAAAATTCAATTTCTTGGGCGTTTCTTGGCCTCAGAATCGTTTTATAGAAATCTCGAGCCCATTACCCCCACTTCTTTTACCTTACACCTTTTTTTTTATTACCGACACACACTCGCTCACAATTAATTAAAGCTCTCATTGCATTCAAGGTTATCTTTGGAAGCGCTATGTTGTTCAGTTGGTTAATTTACAGCTTTAAATTAGTGTAGTTTACTTTCAAAACACTTTACTTTTGCTTTCAAAATATGCGTTGCTGTTGTTGCAAATGGGTGGGGTAATCATTAAGTTGTTTAAGTAGATTTTCTGAGCTCTTAAGGTTTTGATCTCGACAAAATGCTCTGCGCAAGCGTGTGTATATGGTATATGTATATATATTTATTTATAAATGGTGTCTAGAGAAAGAGAATTAGCGGCGCGAGTTGCAGAAGCCCGATGAGATGGCAAGCAGATAGGATCGATGATTGGCAGCTTGGCTCAATCGAAAGGTGTGGCCTGGGCATTGTGATTGATCTCGAACACATTTAGAATGTGATTTAAATTGATGATCTGATCTCATCGGTGGCTCTTGGGCATTTCGCTTCTTTCTGCGATTTTAAGGGAGGGGTACGCGTAATAATAGGAGTCGCGAAAAGAATGGAAGTGATTACTTGATCAAGAAAATAGGTATTTGCATTCCAGGTTATTTTAAGAGTATTTTAAAGGATGTGTGAACATTCGTAACTTGAAAGCTGTTCATTTGTGATTATCTATTATCTATATTTAGCTAAAATTACTGCCGTTCCTCAAAGTACTCTTCCCATTTAAGCTTTTATTAGCTCATTTATTCAACTTTGCTCGAGGTGATCGTTTTTTCGACCTTTCTCTGTTCCCAACAACTGCATTTGGACCGGAGCAAACTCGATAGTTCACTATCTCCCCCCTTTGCATATATTATAAGTACTAATAGCATATCTGGAGCTATTTAGCATTCGCTGTTTGTATTTGTTTCTATTTGAGCCGAGGCGATCCATTTAAGCTTTGGCTGACTGTCGCTCCAATTAAAATACAACTCATCTCCTGGGCCGCATTTGCAAATTGTTGCATTGCAAATTGCGCCTTACATAAGTCAGGGCGAGGCACCTATATAAAAACTCTGTTATTGAGTTGTCGACGGTCTTGGATTTGTTCGAAAAATATGGTACAGCACAGAAAAAAAATTACCCTTTAAAGCGGTATAAATAAAATGCCATAAATTAATATGTAACCTTTATTAAAAATGGGAGTATTATTTATAACGAAATCGAACTACAAATAATTGTTATTAACTTCATTACTTAACCCATTTTTTCTGAGTGAGCCCAACGGTTTTGCTCTCCTTTTCCCCTGATTTTCCATCGCTTTTCATTTAATCGATTTGCGTATTTCGGGCAGCGGTAATGGCTCGACAAAACTTTCATTGTCCCCGCCAGTTTTTCCCCCGATTTGAATGTGGATTAAGTGTATTCCGAGCCAAGACTTTGTATAGCCTAAAGTGATTTGTTTTTTAGATTGCGCCGCTCTGCGGTTATCGCAGCCACCGTCATCGTCGTCATCGAAAAGTCGAACGAAAATAGAGTTTAAATTGAAAAATACGCTTACAGCGAGAGAGGAGGGCTAAAAACTCCAAACTGAAGTTGGCCAGAAGGAGAAGGAGAGGGCAGCTCAGCTGAAAATCAGCGCACATTCCGGCTGCGGCAAAATGTGTAACGCAATCAAAGCCATCGCTTCCGGTTTAAGGCGCAATTAACTGCCTTGGATTACGCTCTTGCCAGTGGGCAGCCCACTCCCCCCTCATCCCCCCAATCCCCCCTCTCCATTCTCCCCACAATCCCCACTTCACCCTCCGAATTACCCCCTCCTTTTCGCCTTCGCAATTCCCACTGCAATCGGCTTTGTAGACCCGACTTCTCTATATATAGCGTCATGGTCATCATTTCGCAGATTATCTCTGAAACATTTCATTTCACTCGATTTACTTCCTTTCGGGCCAACAACGCGTTTCAGCGTTTTCTGCTCACACTTTAATTGGCATTTTGATGGCGTAAACAAATTTCTCGCTGCCTCCGAACGATCAAATGTCATAATTTCTTCTGGCCACCTTAAAAAAAACGAGCGGTGTGTGAATTTATTTTGAAAATTTTTCACGGTCTTTACCAATTTTAATTTTTGGCACTTTCTAGGCATAATCATATTTTTGCATATCCTACTAAAAAAAGAGAAACTTGTTTAAGAATTCTTATTTGTAATAATGTCAGCAAAATAAAACAGTGTACATAGGATTTACATTTTTGTTCATTAGATTAGGTTTCATAGTCATATGTTCAGGGTTGAAAAACCTCTTCTATTTAAAAATTAATTATATTTCCTTTAACAACCCTAACTAAACGGATCTTTATGCACGCTTTAGCAACACTGGTAATAGGAAATAGATGAATGGATCTCCACACACAATCTAAATTGGACCTCGCCTTTTGAGAACTTCATTGAACTGTCCGAAGTCCATTCGATTCGTCACTTCTTCGCTTTATTTTGTGTTCTTCGCCTAATGATCTAAAGATCTCGGCTCTGCAGCCGCGACTTCATTACTGGGGCTCTGGAACAGGGACTGGCTCTATCAACCTGTCTGGCTTTTTTGGCCACTCACTAACCTCCAAACGTTTAATTAATGATCTGTTTTTTTTCTGTTTCGGGCGCTTCTTTTACGCCCATCTGCCACCGCACTCCCAAAAAAAAAAACCCGAGAAGAAACAGAGAGCTCCAACCGACCGACCATCGACTTCTATTTAAAATTAAATTAACCTGCTTAATTTGCCCCCACCCCCCTGGTTACTCCTCCTCTGCACGAGACGCGCCCAAAACATTCACTTCAAAACGGGGGGAACAAAAATCGAAAGGCGCTACTAATCGCCTCAATGCCTATGAATTCAATGTTTCTGCATCTGACGGATACATTCGGCCGATTTCCGTGCATTTAACGCATAAACGCTCTTGGACAGTTTTTTTTTTTTTTTTGTATATTCCATTCGGGGATTATCATTATCATTATCGCCGCTGCTACCCTTTCGCCCTTCACCAGTTCGATTCGTTTTTGATCGCTCAATTAGCGTAAAAGTAACATGTCAAACCTATTAATCACTTTCGAAAAAGGAGAAAAAAATAAAAAAAAATAACAACACTCTTCTTAGGCTGCAGAAAAACAACAATCGAATTTATAGAAAATACATTCCGTGCTCTTTCTTTCGGGTGGGCCAATAGTGCGTGAATTTAGGCGTTGCCAAAATGGTTAAAATTATATAATTTATTTTTTCTTTTGATTGCCAAATTAAAAAGTGTGTCTGTGTGCGGACAACTCTATTTCGCTCGCCTCGTCTTTTTGGCCTGGCTAAATCTTAATGCCGCCAACGAAATCGCTGCGTCATTACTCGAACTTCAATTTCATTCATTCATCAATTACAATACAAGAAAAATACAGTTTCGAGCGGTGGAAGCCTTGAATCTTTCGGATACGTGTCGCTTTAGCTCTGCGGATCGCGGGCAGACAAAAATAAAAACTAAAATTCATCTATCAATTTTGTTGGTGGTAAATGTTCCTCAGTTGACATTAAGTCTAATATTTGTTGATCCTGTGATGGCGCTTATTGTAATCAATTAAATTAAGCCGTTGTGGTTCATTAGAGTTTAAGAATTCGATTACTATCTTGATTTCGGGTAAGTGTAGGTGATATTTTGGTTATTGAAATTGTCTATTTTAAATAAGAATTTAGTAAATCTAATCTTTGATTAAATTTCAATTTTAGCAATGTTTTAATACTTTTTTTTTGCTAGTTCTCTACGGTAACTTTATTTATCTATTATTTAGTATTCTTCTACAATTTTGTTATTGTTTCTTCTGACAATTATTTAGTTATTGTTTTCCATATCATACAATATATTTTCCTACTTACATGCTTGATTTTTCTGATCGCTTTGGTAGCATCAATTTGCCAGCCTCTTCTAGTTTATTGAGCAGCTTTGCTCTAATTGCACAACTAGTTGTTGTGGTTTCTAAAGTCGTTGCCTTTGCTGTTGTTGGTATAAAATCCGCACGGATATCCGTTGGCCGCTGGCAGGAAGAAATCACCATTTGAGCACCGTTTGTCTATTGCAGCGTAGTTTTTTTTTCCTCTCTCGGCCTTACGGATGTTGATAACTCGTCTGGCATTGGCTGCTATACAAATTTGATCTTCTGGTTGTTATATCTGTTGCTTCAGCTGGCTGTTGTTGTTTTTAGAGCGTAAGTCATCCTGTTATCGGTCCGGGATATAAATTATATGGCCGCGATAGCCGACGGCGCGTGGGAATAAAAGTTGCAGTTGTATCTTCAATATTAATTTCAATTTTTATGGAAAGTATTCAAACAGTTTATGGAGGAGTTTTTATTTGATTAAAGGCTTAGAAGGTTTCAAGACAACCTATAAAGTTTTTATTGCAGGAAACAAGCTTTGTAAAAATTAGTTGGTAATATTTTCTTTAGCATTAACAAGTAATCAAGGATTAAGGATTTCGATTAAATGTATTTAATAAATTATCGTATTCAACACTTTTAGATTTATGGTAATTAGGAGCTTTAGTTGTACGTATATACGAAGGGAAGTTGCCACTTTGAGATTTATATTTTATTGATCTTTTTACACTTTTTACAATCACTCGCGCTGGCTGGTGAGGTCTGATTTATGGTACAAGTTGTTTAGAATTATTATATTTTTTTTTATTATATTCCTCTATTTAATTAAGTTTAATTGGCGAGCTGTTCTCCCCGGAGTTGACATCGATCCCCGGCCAAGCCGCTTCGATCCAATCTCTTCGCACTTCCCAGTCGTTTCAGTTTCCTCTCGACGATCGCTCGGCCCGGGCTATAATCTTTTCAATTTTATAATTTCATTATGGATTGTCTGTTTAATGTCTGCCCATAATCATCAGCCTGTTGTACACATGTCTCGGTGGCATTTGTTGTTGATTTCCGTGCAACTCGGCTCACTTTGCATTTACGCGCTGTCACAATTTGCATTAATTGGATCTAAGCGGGTAGTTATCATTGATTTAGCACCGATATCTGGTATATATAGGCCATAGATATGCATCTCTCTGTGCACCTGGGAGTGTATATGTGGTGTTGTTGTTTTTCCGTTTTTTTTGTTTTTTATATCACATCATCTACTGGGCGTAGTCCATGAAATTCCTTAGCAATTTGTGATTCGATTTGTGCTAGCATAAATTTTATTATTATGTATTGGATAGTTGGACAGCTTTATTGTCTATAGGAAGATTTAAGTTTGGGGATAGTTTATGTTTTCTTTTCCTTTTTATAGGATGGAAGTGAGGAATTCACACAGTTAGGAATTAGATTTGATTTTTTAATTTACACATGTTTGATTTTTGTACAGGGTATATCCTATTTGACGATCCTTTTCACTGCACTGAACGGTTACGCTTCATTTTGAATGTTTTACCGTTATCACCGATCGCATGGCGTTACGTTTCGACCGCTTTACGTAGTGGATCTCTTCTGCTCAGCGTTACGTGCTGCTGTTTTTCCGACAAAAGCGACAACACGACCAATAGCTTTGAGACCGTCTCACGGACTGATGATAGACCCAGTCGCAGCCGCAGCTTCAGTTTTCGATTTCCTAATAACGAAAAGCTAAAAAAAAAGAGCAGCACAGAAACATAACAGAAGGAAAAAAAAAACACAAACGCAAAATAGACGACGTCTTCGGCGAGTGTATGGGTGCTCTGAATGAATATACAACGATCGCCGATCCCCGATCCCCAACTTGTGATGATTCCACACGAGACTCACAATCCACACACTCCGGCAGCGACGTCGACTGCGACGCAGACAGCGACGCCAGCAGAGGCAGCGACGCGAGCAGAGGCCGGAGCAACGATGCAATAAATCGAAGCTAATACACTTCTTTCTTAATGTAGAGCGATCCAGCGAACGTGCTCGCACACAGTTACACCAATACCAATGGCCGAACGACTCTGGCCTAGACGAGTTTCGAACGGTAAATGAGGGGCCGCCAGCCGAGCGATCCGCGAGTTGCATCCTGCCTGGTTTTACTCAATGAAAATTCCAAAAGCGCTAGACCTGCATCCAAAAACTGGGTGGAGATCTTCCGCCCCAGCGACGAACAGAGAGCCGAGCGCCGAGCCGCAACAAGCCGAACCCGATCCGAACTTGCTGTAGCTCCACTTGCGATCCACACGCTGCCGAGATACTGTATCTGAAAAGTGAGCGTGAAGCAGTCGCCGCTGGAAGCCCAAGCGGGCCACAACCGGACAGCATTCTACTAATGGGTTAAGAGAGAGGTGCACAGAGCAAAACATAACACTTTTGGGTTAATGTGGGAATCAATGGTTTGACAACAGATAGATGGCTTTTTCCATAATCAAGGGAAAAAAAAAATATATTAAATTTCGATTGTTTAGAATTTTACGTTATGTATTTATCTTTAAATTTTGAGTTTAACGTCTTGAAATTCAGCCAACATTTATTTAAGACAATATTCTTTAGATATGTACTAAGTATTCAAAATTAATCAAGCATTTTCTTCGCAATATAATAAATAATCTTTTTGACGATAAAAAATGCTATTTTAAATGAATGAAAAGATTTGCAGACAAACCGACTAATATGAGATAAATCAATACTTTTTTTAGGGTTATATAACGATAGCAATTAGTTGTCTGTAGAATGGTCCGCATCTTATTAAGCTCTCAATAGATAAATCCTTTTTTTCCAAAGAGCCCATCATTTTTCTTTGTGCAAACTCTCTGGGGGAATGGGAAAGTTCAACGGGTTCTTTCACTGATCGCAGATTAACATACGGTCAGAGAAGGGTCTCCGGTCTTGAGCTTGTGTGTCCTACTTGGCACGAGACTGGAATCGGGCATTTTCAATGTCCATGTCCATGTTCAAGACCATGTCATGTGCCTTCTTCTTGGCCACTTCACACAGCTGCAACTGCAATTGCAACTGCAACTGCAGCAGCCGCAGCAGCAGCAGCAGCAACTCTTGATGTTGCTGTGGTGCCTGGCTGTTGTTGCTGCCGCTGCTGCGCTGTGGCTGTTGCACGAAATCGATCAAATCAAAAATGACTTTGTGAAGTGACTAACTGCCTAACTGCCAGCTGCCGTTGCTAGTTGCTGCTGCCGCTGATGTTGCTGTTGCAAGTTGCTGATGTTAGTGCTGCTGCTGCTGCTGTCTAACAGTAGCTTGGCTGCTTTGATTTTTTGGCGCAAGTCCAAGTCCAAGTCCATGGACATACAACACTTCAAAATGAAAGCACATTCCCTTGTAGAAATTTTACCGTTACAGGTACAGCGCACCCCATGCACATCAGGTCGTTTGTCCATTTTCCACTGCCTCATGCCGCATGCCACATGCCCCCTTGTGCCACATGGAATGGTGGTCTGTGCCTTATGCCTTATGCCATCATGCTGATGATCGGCCAGGCCAACACTTGGCAGCTTTATGGCTCGGATATTTGCAAATCTCCAGTTTCCACGTTCTCCAGTTGTTATTGTAGCTGTTCTCCCCTTGTTATTCTAGCTGATGATCTGCCATCATCTTCCCGGCTAAGAAGAAGAAGAAGAAGGCCGAGATCTCTTCAGCCGCGTGCCACGCTCTCGTTGGTTATTTATTTGAGTCAATGAGTTCACAACTATTTTTCTATTTTTCCTTAATGGCTTTTCCTTTGCATTTTCTTCCTCTCTTTTTTTCTCCACTTTTTTTCCGTTTTTTTTTTTTTTTTGCTTACCGGGGAAGGAAGCGCCTTGTTGTCTTCGCTTGATTGATGGTTTGATAATATGAAGTCGGTTGCGCTGGATTTTGGCCTCGACGGAGCAAAGGATTGTTATGATGGTCAGTGGCTGCAAATGAGTTCAATTGAAGATTATCTTTTATTAATTAGCGTGGCGGGGGAATGTGGGTCAGCTTTGGAATCCGGTGGGTTGATTGGGGCGCACATCCTTTGTGCCGAGATTGCGATTGGGTGGAGGAATGTGCAGGTGATTGACGGTGGAATGTTGTATCTTGCGGCTTTGAGGGAGTGTTTGATTGGAGGAAATCTAGATTAAAAAGTGCAAAGAAAGAAGCTTAATAGATTAATATAATAAAAATTAGTTTTGGAGAATAAAATAAATTAAATTATCTGGAATAAACAAGATATACAGCATGCACCATAAATAATTTAATGGATCTTTTGTATGTTATAAAACTACGATTAAGAGGAATGCTGCTTCTGGTAGTTAATCCCCCACACCTTAAACACATAATCCAAGCTGATCCCATTCCAATGAAAATATTTAATTGCCTAGTTTTTCCTATAAACTCCCATCGATCGATGATCGCCATGCTCGGAACCTTGTCAACACAAATCATGTTCTATGGAGCGAAGAATTTCCTGATTAACTTTGCCCCGGGATCGGCACTCCAATTGACAGTCAAGCAGGTACATAAATACCAACATAGCACCAATAAACACCGCATAGCTCCGATTGGGAGCCATATATAGGAAATTAGCATACAACCAGTCGATTCCCATAAGTCAGGCACGATGCCATCGAGATTATGCATAATTAAAATGTTCGTATACAATAATTAGCCATAAGTAAATACACATGCAAAGTGCCGCTGTTAAATGGCTGAATAAACGTTTAGTTTATGGCTTATACCTTTTAACTAAACGAGACAACAACGGTAAAGCCAAATAAACAATTTGATAAATTTATGCGAAATGCGACAAACAAAAAAAAAACTGGAAACTAACGTGAAATAATAAAAGCGAAAATCGAGCGGCGAAATGAGCCAACCGAAAAGCAACAACATTAAGAGGCGACAGTGTTTAGGAGAGCTTTAACACCTCAGTGCCCCCCACCAATGTCCCACTTCCGCCCCCTTCCATTAACCCTTCAACGGCAGCTGCTGCACATAATTGGCCCGCAACAGGGGGAACAACAACAACAAAAAAAAAAAAACAACAACATGGAGCGATCGTAAACATTTATTTTTCGTATAGTTGTTGCAGGTGTGTCAGTATTTATGTGTATGTGTGTAGTGTGTTGAGTGTTTGTATGTGTGTGTGTGGAAGACCCGCCCGCCTTTGGACCGCCGATGTTGTTGTTGTTGTTGCCGCTGGCGAGTTTTTGTTTAAACGTTTTCAAATCGCACAGCGAATGAAAACGAAAGAAAAAATGAAACACATCGAAAGTGAGCATATAACGAAGCGCTGCCCGGCGATGTTGTCGACGTATCAGAGCGCTCGCAGTGCCCCCATCCGATCCCCCATATACTCGCTCCCCATCACGTACTGCCCCCCTCTCTTCGCCTCCCTCTCCCCCCGTCCGAACCATCCACTATATCTCGGAGAGACTTTGCATGGCCGGCCGATCGGACGACGACCACCGACGACCATCGCATGTGGAATCGGGCGGTGTGGAATGGACATCGGAATCATTACACACGAGGAAATGCATACTAATTAGTTGGGTTCTCACATATGGAAATTAAACAAAATGGAGAATAGTATTTCATTAATGAAAGAACATAATATTTTGGTTAATAAGTCATTAATATAAATAAAACGTAGGGATTTTTTATCAACAGTAGATTATACAATAAATGTGGGCTATAAAAATATATTTATATATTTATAATTTATAAAGTTTTCCTATAGTTTGTATTGTTATGATTATGTAGCTCATATAGCTAACATAACTTCTATAAAATTACTTGATTATCTAAATAAAAAGAAACAAAAATTACTTTGAACATTGGCACATGAAACATAAATTAAAAGATATTTTCCCTCCGTGCATGGAGGTCGCCTTCATATGCACCTCTGACCACCGTCGTTGTGGGTTCCACATTGCGCCACTGGGTTTTTAAGACAAAGAGTGTGCCCCACCGGAAAAGATTCAGTTGGGTGGCTATCTGCGAGGAATGTGCAATGGAGGCGAGGAGACGAGCCATAACGAACATGGCTATCTTTACGATTCCCAACACTTTTAACTTTAATGGAAGTCCAGGAAAATATACTTGCACTGCAATTTTGGCTAATTTAGCCCATTAATGTACTCAAGATAATTTTTAAACATTTTACTACTTACAGTTTTGAGGTTTTATAAGCAAAGTTATTTTTTAAAAAAATATTTATTATGTTTATATTCACAGGTTTTGGAAATCTTTTTGAAAAAATAAAAAATTATTCATGGTAATGCCTTACATTTTGTAGTCAACCTCTAACTTAAGTTTAAGTCAATATTTTGTTCTCTTATGTTTATCATTCAATATAAAGAGACAGACACAAATTTCGAATTTCGTTCCAAAGTCTGTTTCCCAGACACACCCCTTAAATCAGGTGATGTTTTACGTCATGATATATTTGCTTTATAATTTCCAGAAGAAATTTCACCAATTCCCAAAGAGTATCGCTATTTTTGGCTCGTATTCTATTCTTCTAGTTGAACACGAGCTATCTGTTTCTGCGGATCTGTGGCACTCTTAATGTACACAAAGACACTAGGCAAACACACAGATACACAGAGCACCACAATTGGCTCATTTGAGAATCGCTCGCTGCGTATCCAGAGACCTTCCCCTGTTTTCCAGACATACAGATACATTCGCAGCCCGAGATACAGATACAGTTGCAGATACAAAGGCGAACTGGGCCCGTTGTTTGTCGTCGTGTTGTCGTCGTTCGCTTCTAATTATACGATAGGAGCGCTATGAGCCATGAAACGTGCGGGGTCTGACCTTCTTCACAGAGCCTGCCTTCGAGTATATATTTTATATTGTATATTGTATCTGGCCTGCGCCTTCGTCTTTATATATATATATATGTATATGTATATCTGAACCTCTAAACGGCTTTGGCTGCCTTATACTCGCAGGCGATTATTAAATTTTCAGCGTTTGGCCGGCAAAAGGCTTCTGTGGTAGCAGCTGCTATTAACTCGAGCGCCTACTTCTTACATATTTAATTATTTTGGGGGCCAGGCCTTTTCTGAATTCTTGGGCGGGCCGGGCCGGGACACTTGGCCTAATGCTTTTGGCCACAGCCCAGCCCATTGGCCAACCTATTGGCCTTAATATCCGATGTCCATCTCTCTTTGTCCGAACTCGTTTAATTGTTAACCATTAAACTAGATTAAATGCCGAGTACAATTAGCTTATAATAATATTTTGAAAAGAACACCTCTACAGAAAAGCATTCATTTAAGATTAATCACTTAAGTTAACAATTTATGGGTTTATAATAGCCAAGAAATCCATGATAATTACATGAGATAATAATTGATAACAAAGCACTTCCTTAAACTTAATTATATGGCTTACATGCTTATTAAAAAGGGTTATGGGTAATTTATTTAATATAAGTCTTTAAAGTAGTAGTTCCTTTTTTTAATAATTTTATTTTGCTTGTACATAAATATATATATATATATATATTTTTTTTTTCTCTTATAATTCCATTTTACCTCTGACAATTCCCCCGTTCAATTGCTTTCCCATCGATCCATCTTTACCCATGTCACCAATTGCCGTTCCCCCCACAATCCACTGAAGATTAACCAAAGTGCGCGACGAAGAGGCGAAAAAAAAAACCGAAATCTGATATATTTGTCTAACATCTTCGGCATTAAGCTTACCCCCAGCCCCCAACCCGAAAAAACGCGAGATTTCCGCATTAGAAACGATTTTTTAATTATTATTTTCAGACGCCTACACGCAAAACCGAAACTCGATGGCTTCGAGTGGATGCTCTGCTCAAATGTCAGGCTTATTAATACAACAGCCCCAACAGATCGCTCCACTCAAGTGCCGGGGGATTTGTGGCACTGAGGCACTTTTGGGGCTCCAGATCGAGAGATCGAGTCTTTGAGCTGAGTAGACGCTGTGCATCTTTATGTGGGAGTGCGGGCTCCATTGATGACACGTCATTTGCTTGGCATAGACATCTTCGTCAAATGTGTTAAGTTGCGCCAAGACGAAGAAAACAGGTCTTCCAGTTCAACGGCAATGGTGTCAGTAAAATGTCATGGAAAGCCACTTAGCTCTGGGTGGTGTCGCTTATACGATTTTTCTCCGATTTTTTTTTCTGAATCGGATTCACAGCCAGCCCACATCCGCTGAACAACAACACCGAAAAAATATGTGAAACAAGAAATCTAAGAAGTAGCGATCAAACATTTGTCAATTTTCCTGCCCGGAGGTTGGTATTTGGTATTTGGTGCGATTGGTGGTTCTTGCTCGCGGGCAATGCTCAATTACGGTTTTGATTTAAATCAGTCTACTGACCCCAAAAGTTCAGCTACGGAAATTGCAAATTTAATAATTGACTGGCTCAGTAAAACTGTAAAGGCCCAAAAACCAGGGGGCTTATTAATGCGATAACCTTGGCTGATTTAATTTCTGCCGTCTGTTCCACCGGGCCTGTGATTATCCAGCAACAAGAAAAGCCAGCAAACAGAAAAAAAAAAAGAAAAAAACACACAAACCAGCGACTTCCATAACAAAAGGAAAATCAAAACTTGCACAATTTCGACACTAAACGACGATGTCTGGGCCACTCTTCGAGTGCCTCCGAGCTGCCATTTAGTCGCATATTTAATTAAGAGATTGAGTAGCGCAAATAGTGTTGAACAATGGCCAGCACGAGTCGCATCTACACTGGGAGAAATCACTAGGTGAAAGTATCATTAGCATAACAGACATTGTTTTAGGGTTCGCTGGTTTCTTCTTGTTCAGAATTTTGTCTGTAGAACTCGGCATATTCAACGTGTCGATCGTCCAAATCGGTAACTTTTTCTTCGGGTTCTACTTTAACCCTTTCATAGTAATCCTCTTTTAGATCTGATAGGAATGTGGCATCCTTGGGGACCGTATGTCTCTCCTGAAAGGGAAGTCTCTCCACCTTGAAGCTTATTTCGTAGCATGAAAAGTTAATTCGATTGAGAAAGGGTGTTGGAATGCAACAAGCCAGAATCCATTCCTTTATTTTATTTATATCCCTCCGCTCACCTTCCATCTCGCCAAAGGCGTTACGTCCATAATTGGAGTATATTATGTATCCGCTTATCTGCTTTTTGTGGCAGCGACGCAATATTCGCTCTTTAAAATTTATCTCCGGCAATATGTTAAACAACTTAAACTCAGTTTTCACGATATGCATCGCGTCATCGGGAATCGTTGTATTTGATTCACTGTCCATCTTTAAAGTTATTGATTTGAATCAATCAAATATGTATAAATAAATAAACTAGAAAATATTGAAATATTTATAATTTATAATTTCGGTTTGTATGATTGTGGCTTGCCTTGTTGTTCAGCTTTATCTGGTTTTCGTTTGTTTAGGACATTTGAAATTCAACGCAAAGTCTACTTAATATGTTTTCTTTCCTTTACAAATCTCAAAAACAAAATATTTTATAAGCTAAAATATTTGAAAGTTTCAGTAGAAAAGGTTACTATTAAAAAAGAAATTCAGACATTCAAACATCAAAATATCTCAGGAAACATTTATATTTACTTCAGAATTCCCAATCTTAATTCAAAAAATCCTTATTTCAAATCACACAAAATGTCTCTCGAACTGGTGCCGCAACCCGAACCGGAGAAGATCTACCTAATAACCTACGAGATGAGCGTGCCCAGAGATTATGGCAAGGCCCTCCAATCGATGGTGGCCCACAAAGCCGCCGAGCTGAAGGTGTGCGGCTACATCGCGCATACGCACAGTGGCCGCAAGGTGGGCGGCGAACTGCAGGGCAGTGAGGCTGGCCTCCAGCCGATGATCGACTGGCTACGTTCGAAAAGCCAAGGGAAGGATGTGGGCGACGGGGAGAAGATCAAAAGCCAGATGACGGAGCCACGATTCTCGAAGTGGAAGCTGCAATCATTGGGGGCCAAATACGATGATTTTTTCTGCTGCTGAATGCCGTCGAGAGTTGAGTTGATTAAAAATCGCAAATTGCATTGGCCCCACAATATTGTTTCGAGTGCATTTTCATCTCATAAACCATAACAATCAGTGTCGGCTGCTGTTGCCGCTGCAGCGGCAGTTGGTTCGACCATTGAACAATAGCCCGGCTGACTCCGCGCTGACTTTTCAAAGTCAAAAACGCGATTGTATCATCAGTATTTTTCGGGGCGCGCTCTCTGCCTCTGATTTTCCTCTTAGTTTTTCCTTTTTTTTTCTGTTCGTTTCTCAGATTTTTTCCGCTCGGCATTCGCAGATAAAGTTGAGGAGCCCGAGCTGCGGCAAAAAAACAATCGAATCAATTCATTTTTCTAGGGCGTACTGTGCCACTTGAACGTTGAACTGCAGACGCCCCAATGCTGACTACCGCTGAGGTTTCGCTTTTTAGAGGTTTTCCATCTCCTCCGGAGTCCGGAGTCGCCTCCATTGTCTTCGAAGACGGCAGCCCGGTCTTGATCGTGCCCCGGCACTAGTCATTTTAATTTTTCAAGATTTTCCGAGCGCGCTGTGCTTCTGCGCATTTCGCAATCTGAACTCTATAAATCTCTCGTGCCGGTGTGTTAGATTTATGGGTTATGGGCCAAATGGGAGCGGGCCAAGCCAAATGTTCTATGGTTCCCCCCAAAAAAATAATGGAAAAAGAAAAAAAACACCCGCCTTAAAATCCCCAAGATCCAGGCGATTCAATTAGATCTAAACGCTGTCAACATCCAGGCTCTAATAACCCACAACAGCCGCAAAGCAAGGGGATCCCAAAAAATCAAAAAAAAAAAAAAGGAAAATGGGGAAAAAATAGAAACAAAACCAAGATTGTCGTCTGGCCTGTGTCTATGGCATAATGTTGCATAATATTTTATGCATGCAGAGCTCTGGCAGATTGCAACATGTTGCCATGTTGCAGCTCTCCGACTTCGACGCCGCTGCTCCACTGCTCCGTTGCTCCGCTGCTGATGATGATGATGATGCATAGCCCCAAGAATCGCTGAGACAGCCAAGCGCTGTGGCTGTGGCGCCCCTCCCAGAAAATCTGAAAATCCTGCAAAAACCTTTGCCGCGCGACTCCCAGCTGTGTGTGCCCCGCGCACAAAGTGTGTCGAATATTCAAGTGAAAATTCGCCCCAGCCCCATTGAAAACCCGCTGCGATGTATCGCCGAGTCCTCCTAAGTGCGGCGCTTCGATGACGTCGGGCTGCGATTCGAATTTGAATTTGGATTCGAGCCCGGCCAAGTGTTGGTGTCTCTCTGCCCATGCATGCGAGCCATGTAGAGACACGGAGAAAAAATGTGAGAACTTAAGTAACAAATCTTAATAATACAAATCTCAGAGGGTGAACAGAGAAACAGAAATTAATAAAATAATTTGTAGAATATTAGAAAAGAGGAATATTAACATTATTACTATTAATATTAGTATATTAATACTACAGTTTTGGTATTTTGGTATGTTACATCCTTTACATTCTTTATAACTGTTAAATGCATAATGATGATGTTGATTAGTAAGATTATTCAACTTGAAAAGATGATAGATATTTTCTGTACTTATAACTAGGACATTTCCTGTTTTTAGAAAAACCCAACTAATTAATAGTATCTGCATTATTTTCACTGCATATATGCATCTCTCGCTTATGGGATATCGCTTTATATCTGGAGTCCATAGGTGGGTAGCTCAGAGTCTCGGTCTCTGGCGTTTTTCGCTGGGTCTTGGTCTGGTATTTGATTAGACGGCAAAAGGCGACGGCGGCAAACTTGATCGCGTTGCTGTTCTGTTGTTGTTTTTGTTGTTGTTGTTAGCTTTGTTGTTGCTTTTGGCCAATGTTGTTGCTCTGGCTCTTTAAGTCGAACAATTACATTTTAAGCGTAGCACAACCTTGGATACCGTTATATTTTTGCAGTTGGTTGGGCGTGTGTTCAGCGAATTACCCAGCAAACATTTGCAACTAAGAATACGGCTTTGGCGTTGGTAGGGAAATGGAATTTAAAAAAACTTTAAGAAAGGATCTTTTGGGATTTTAAAAAAAAGTTTTAACAAATTGTTGTATTGCTTGTTACTAAAATTAACAATATAAATCGTTAATCAAATAATATTATTGCTTAGGTATACTTATTTTATAAAATTGTGTTAGAGGATGTAATTTTTCCTTATTTATTCTTACGCATTTATCTAAATTCCTTTATTAAACATTTATCAAAACATAATCATCGCACCTTGGTTAATTGGCGTGAAACTACATTTTAGATTTAACAATGCCTGATAGCTTGTAACCAAATTCAAATTACTCTTCTTCAACCCCATTTCATCCGACTTCGGCGGCCTTTTCCCCTTTGGAAAACTCCCAAAAAGGGAGCACCGAAAAAGCTTTCCTGCCGCGAAATGTTGATTTGGTTATGGACCGGCAGAGACCGCACCGTTGGGCTAAACACGACTCGGCAATCTGCAAAACGTCGCAGCGTTCGACAGTCGACAGTCGCCTCGATCGGCCAGTCAGTCTTCGGTCTTCGGTCTCCAGTCTCCGGTCTCCGAATCGGGTCTGAAATCCAGGCCCAGGTTCAGAGTAAAGATCTAAGACCGAACTGAACCGAACCGAAGCCAGAAGACTGAAGACTGAAGACCAGACCTGGCCAAAAGCGAGTCGACCACACCCGCACACTTCATTATTTTTATGTCGCCTGTGGTGGTACGATTTAAACGACAAACGCGGCAGCCGGCGAGCAGACGTTGGCGAATGGATCGCAAGACTTTGGAGCCAGACTTTTGGAGACCAAGACACGACATCCACCGAGAACCCCCCTCTCTGCCCCTCCTCTGACCATCTAACTACCAAAAAAAAACGACAGAAATAAACCAAAAAAAAAAAAATAGGCACAAAAAGAGCCAAAAGCAAGCCAAGAAATTAGACGCATTCGACGTTTTGGAACGAGCGACAAGTCAAAGTAGCAAAAGACCCAGGCACAAGCTAACTCCCTATCCCTCTTCCTCATCCCCCTTTACCCATCTCCTTCTATCCGACTATGGCCATCTCTTTCTGCATCTTGGGGCACGTTGCTCCTTTTTGGAGCCAGGGCACATCTCATGTTGATGTTACAATTGCTGCTCCGTTCATTGGATTTTCGGTTTATTTTCCTTTTTTTTTCAGCGATCGTGCGCCAGTTCAAATGTGCCTAGTGGGTTTGGAAATTTGTAGCGCCCAAAACAGCAACAACAACAACAGCAACAGCAACATGAGGCAGTACAACGGCAACAACAATTACCCACAATTACAACAATAACGAAATAGCAACAGCAACGCAGGCAAAAGGAAACTTCGTTAGTGGCCAGAAAGGTATTCAATGTGGTGCCTCTAAAATGCATTACGAAAAATCTATAAGAGTTTAAAGGAAAAGTGTTAAAATTAAAGTGTTTTAAATTATTTTTTTTTTATAATTAGTCCATTTAGAAACTTACTTATCCTAGGAAAGTAGCATACCATGTTATCTTTAATTATTGGAGTAACTATTTTATTTTATCTTTGGCGATTAAGTGGATTTTCACATCTTTTATATCTTAAAATAAAATGGTTTTTGGCAATTCTATATTTTTTCAACCTACTGCATGTTTCTCTCAGTGCATGATCTTCAGTTACAGCCTGAGCTTCAGCCAGAGTTCCTAAAGGTTCCAACTTTGGGGGAGTTTGTGGCGCGGGAAGCGCAGAGAGCCGGTGTAATTTATCTTGATGTTTAAATCAATAATAACGCCGTCAGTGTGCGTTTGCTTTTAGCGACTTTTGATCGCTTCACCAGCCAAACTGCCAGCCATCTAGCCAAAAGCAAAAAAAAAAAAAAAAAATAAAAATAAAAATAAAAAAAGCAAAGCCGGCAAAGTCAGTCAGGGAGTCACAGAGTCAGTCAGTCAGTCACTCCATCGATATTTTAATAGATGTTGCTGCCGCGCGATTATTGTTATTATTACTATGGGGAATTTCAATATGCGGCCGCCGTTTGCGCAGATTATTAAGGCACGAACAGGAAAATTACGTCGATGACGACGAGTACGACGACGCGACTCGGAGTGTTTCCATAATTATTGCTATAGGCTTTTGATCTGGTTTCATTCTGGTTTTCTGGCTGGCATGCCGACCCAGTAGGCCGCATTTTGGAGACACGGTTCTTGGTCTGGCGTCTACGCCTATTCGTCTGCTGATCTTTACAAGCTTTGCTTCAGAATTTTCCACTTTTTTTTTCGTTCTTCTATTTTTTTTTTTTTTTTTTTGCCCATTGTTAAGTGAGTTTGGGTGAAGAGCAGCAGCGGCGGAGCTGCCTGAGGTTTCTGTATTTAGTTGTGGGCCGAATCGTTTCGTAATTGTAAAATATGTTGTTATGCTTTAACTTGTTGTTGCTGCCACAGCAATGCGATGCGACAAATGTGTGTACAGTTAGCCGAGGGCAGCGGCATCTGCGGAAAATGCGAGGGCGGCGCAATGGAAGGGGGCGTGGTACATGCACTGCGAATTTTCACTTCTATTCGATCTGGGAAAGGCAATGTTCCGATTGTGCTGAGGAATTTTAAGTCGCTTGGATGAGTAACGATTGGGCGAAAAGGTTTAACGGAGAACCAAATTACATTAAGCTAAATTGAATTGATTGGACTTGCAGAAATAATCTAAATATTTGTTTGAGCAAGTTTATTCGGGAACTTCAACAAAAGTTTTCCTTTATTACTTATTTATGAACTCATGAACACACATTGTTTCAAATTCTCAAAAAACATTAGTTATACATTAATAACCAGCTTATCAATTATCAATAATCAATCATTTACATGATAATAAAGACACCAAAGAATTATATTTATAGAACAACATGACTTTGAGAACTTGTACATTATTAAGACAATCATCTTTTTTTAAGATTTGTCTTTTGCAATGTTTATATATAGTTGTTTAATATATAAAATCTTCCTTTCTATTAGAGGCGATTATCAAACGTCTGCGGTGCCACTGTGCGTATGCGCGTTGTCCGAGTTGAT